TTTAATCATTTTTCTCAAATTTCTTAAATCTAGATTGCAAATTTATTGACTTGAGCAAAAAAAAAAATTTTAATTCATGCTTTACCTGATATTCTCCGTCAAAATAATTGTAAAAAATTGAAAAATATAAATATTTAATGAACAAATGAAAAAATAAAGATATGAAAAGAATCATCTTCAGATTTTTTAAAAATGAAAATGACGAACTTTTTTTTTTTGTCATTTTTATCATTTTTGATTTTAATATTCCGGACCAAAATTTTCAAAAAAATTAAAAAATAAGATTATTCAAGAAATAAATAAGAAAATAAAAAATCCGAGGTAAATCATCTTTAGATTCGTGAAAAATGAAAACATGACATTTTTTTGATTTTGATTTTGATTATTTTTTACTTTGATATCCGGCACGAAAATTTTCAAAAAAATAAAAAATTGAGGATATCTAACGATCCGACTAACAAATTTAAAATAAAAAAAATATCATCTTTAGATTTTTCAAAGACGAAAAGGTGACTTTTTTTTTTTTTTTTAATAATAATCATTTTACTCGCAGATATACGTCCCAGAATGCCCTAAGCCAAAATTAAAAAAACTAACTGAAATCATCTTTTTTGGATTTAAAAATAAACTAAATTTGAAAATTTCATATGTATGAAACGATAGGAAACACGGTGAGAGTTTCCCAAAATTTAATTTTTAATGTAAAAAATTTTTTATTAGCAAAAAAAAAAAATTTGTTTATTATCATCTGTAGGTAAGTCAACGACAAACCATTTATATATAATTTGGTAAACTCGAAAAACTTAATTTCGCTTGTAGATATCCCTATCTGAAATTTTATTTTGTCTGCTATCCGCTAACTTCAGGGTCATAAAATCTAGCCTTCTAATAATAAATTAATTAACTTCTAAGCAGATCAATTAGTATTTGGGAACGAAATGTGACGGAGATTCTATTTCGTCTTCCGAGTCTGATGAATCATTAGTACATTCTTGACACTAAAAAAAAAATAAATAAATATTCAATCAATGTTAATAAAATATTATAAACTTTATAAAACGTAAATAATTACCTTCACTAAATGTTTTAATTTCTCAAAGCAATTATTATGGGCATAGTGACCACAAGTTAATTGTTTTTGGTCTGCAGGAATCTCTAGCCATACTTTACAAAATGCACAACAGACTTCTTTTGTTGTTGTTGATGCTGTCCCCGACGTTGATTCAGGAGCTGAAGCGGGAGTCACATCATTTTCATTAATATTTGACGAAGATTGATGATTCGTTCGGTATCTAACTTCTTCATCCATTCTTGAAAATGATTCTTTTAATACTGCTTCATCATCTTGATCATCGTAACAAAATGAACAATTCTACAAAAAATTTTAAATAATTTATAAGTATGTTGGTGTGTTTTAAATCAAATAATAAACTTACGTCTCTTCTACTTGCAAGCCGTGCTCTAAAACAAGTTACATGACACAAATGACCGCAAGCTAATGGATAATCATTAGCAACTACAGCCTGTCCGCAAAATGGGCAAGTTAAGTTACGAGCTCTTCTTGGATTAAATTTACTGGAAAAAAATATCGTTATCAATTACCTGTTTCTTAATTGAGTTTAATATATGTAATTCTATTTGTATATAATTGGATTGATTACTTTTGACGATTGTGATGATTTTCATGATGATTGTTGTTGTATTGACGTTGTGAAAAAGCAAATATAGTAGCAGCAACAGCTCCAACAACCAAACAAAGTGTTGTTAACGCTGCCCCTGCGAATGGGTTCATACTTAATTATGACTTGTAATTTAAGAAAACTATTTTACGTAAATAAACAGCAAGTTTTTAACTTTCAAAACAGAAAACACTTTAGGGTTATACACTTGACCATATTAACGCAAAGTATGCACAATTGCACTGTTCATCTATTGTATGTTATTATTTACAACTCACAATCCATAAAAAATCAAAGACATAAATAAAGAATTCCCAGAAAAGCATTTTGTTGACATAATACAAGATCAATATTTTATCGACTGAGAAAATTATTTAATCAAGGACTTTAGGGGGCTTATGTTAAAAAACCATTAGCTGATATAAAAAAAAAAAATTCAATTGCAAAATAGTTTAAATAATTAAAAGAAACAATTTTTCGCCGTAATGGTTTTTTTTGGTGCCACTGCTTCGAATTTAAAAAATGAAATTTTTCCGTCTTTTTGTTTTTAAATTGCCTAGAGCGCGAGTCGCTATAAGTGGTAAACTTTGGAACTTCAGGACTATATTGTCGTATTTGTTTACATGAAAAAACATCACACCGAGTATCGAGTATATAACCTTTATTTTGTCTACTATTTATTCTTATTTAATTACGTTTTCGAATCTGAAATTAAAGGGATTTTTAATTTTAAAAATGTCGGTTGTTATTGAAACAACTATTGGAGATTTCACTGTTGATTTGTTCACTAATGAACGTCCACAAAGTAAGTAAACTTATACACTTTTGACTTGAAATGAAAATTAAGTTAGCCGACATCTAAAAATTTTTAGAATTTTTTTTATTGACAAAATTATTACAAAAAAATATGATTTAATAAATAAAATTTAAATTAAAAACGTCGGCTAACTTTAGTATTATTTATGATATTTTTTAATTTTTTTTAATTTTCTAAACGTCAATTTCTTTTCTCATTTTCTTTGACATAATTTATTTGTTAACAAAATTATAAAATATCTGCTAAATTAATTTTCATTATTATTTTTAACTCACTTGATATTTGTAACTAAAAGTAATGTATATTTTCATAATTATAAATATTTGTATGTGATAATTAAAAAATTATTTTTTTTCAGCATGTCGGAATTTTCTAAAACTATGCAAAATAAAATATTACAATTGGAGTTTATTTCATACAGTAGAAAGAGAATTTATCGCTCAAACTGGAGACCCTACAGGAACCGGTAAAGGTGGAGAAAGTGTATACGGAATGGTATTAGGTGAAAAAGCTCGTTATTACGAAGCTGAGCAGATGCCCAAGATTAAGCATGACCGGGTAGGTTTATTGTCGATGGTGAATTGCGGAGATAATATGCTTGGTTCACAATTTTTTATTACACTTGGTCGTAATCTTCAATCTCTCGACGGTGAGCACTGTGTGTTTGGAGAAATTGTTGAAGGGATCGATGTAATTTTAAAATTTAATCAGGCTATTTGTGATGATGTGGGCCATCGTCCTCTTCAAGACATACGTATATCCCATACAGTTATTCTAGAAGATCCGTATGATGATCCTAAAGGGTTGGAGATTCCTGATCGCAGTCCTGGGCCGACAGAAGAGTGTCTAAAGAGTGATCGAATCGGGGCTGATGAAGCGATAGATGATACGGTTGGTATGACTGAAGAAGAAATAATTGAAATGAGAAAAAATAAGGAAGCTAAAGCAGCAGCGACTATTCTTGAAATTGTTGGTGATATTCCCGACGCTGATATAGCACCTCCTGAAAATGTTTTGTTTGTTTGTAAACTGCATCCTGACACCAGTGACGATGATTTGGAAATAATTTTTGGCAGATTTGGACAAATAATTGGGTAACTTTTTTTTTTTTTTATATATAATCCAATTTGTATAATATTTGTCTAAATTTTCTTCAATATTAATCACCTATATTATTAAGAAAATAAGTAAAATTTTGTGACCAGTGTATTTATATGATAAAATGGGTTTTTATGGTTAAATTTGGTATCGTTGGAAAACTCTTGACCTGCAGTTGTGTCTTTTTTCATGGTTTCATATCATTATCACCAATAGTCAATTTATGATGATAAGTATTTAGGGTGCATTCGAAAATGCTCCATCTCTAGATACATAATTAAGGAATGACCTTGTATCTGGTGAAATATTGACATTTTTAAAGATATAAGCTCATCCCGATGTTACGCGCATTTTTGATATATTTTTCATATATACATATATATGATATATATAAATATAAAAAATATATGAAAAATTGATGTGGGTACTCAAATGAAAGGTCTTGATGAGTGTAACATCGAGATGAGCTTATATCTTTAAAAATATCAATAATTAAGAAATGACTTTGTATCTTGTGAAATATTGACATTTTAAAAGATATAAGCTCACTTCGACATTACACTCATCGAGACCTTTCATTTGAGTACCCACATCAATTTTTCATATATACACATATATATATTATATATGTGTATATATGAAAAATATATGAAAATGCATGTGGGTACTCAAATGAAAGGTCTTGTTGAGTGTAATATCGGGATGAGCTTATATCTTTAAAAACGTCGATAGTTAAAAAAGTACAGTGAAATTTAACTAAGGTCATTATTTAATAAAGCAAAATTTTATTTATTTATAGTTCACAAGTCACGGCAGTCACATAGTGATAAATATTTTAATTTAACAATTTGTTGTTTTACAGATGTGAAGTCATTAGAGATCATAAGACCGGTGATTCACTTCAATATGCTTTCATTGAATACGCTGATCGTAAAAGCTGTGAAGATGCATATTTCAAGATGAATAACGTGTTGATTGATGACAGAAGAATTAAGGTTGACTTCTCTCAGTCCGTTGCCAAAATGCGCTGGAGAGGTAAAGGCAAAGGAATTTTGCACCTCAATGACAATCAAGCCCAAAATCGCAATAATAAAGATGACCGAAAACGACCAAGAAGTCGGAGCAGAGAAAGAACTGAAAGAAAAAGAAGTAGAAGCAAAGGAAGAAATGAAAGGAAAAGAAGTAAGAGCAGAGAAAAGAGAGATCGCAGAAGGAGCAGGAGTAGAGACAGAAAAGTACGTCAAGAGCGACGAAGGAGCAAAGAAAGAGAACGGAATGAGCGTCGAGAACGAAGTCGCAGTCGAGAAAGAAAAGATCGAAGACGCAGTCGAAGTAAGGATAGGCGTAATAAATATGATCATAAAAAACATCGATAATCTTTGTAATTGATAGAATTAATAAATTTGATACAAATTTCTGAATATATCATTTTTTGAATATTTTAATATATCTTCAAATAATTGATAAGAGTATGAATTGAAAGTTTTTAAATATTTGACGTTTGATAATCATCATTTGATAAGTTTGCTAAAAAATTGTGGAATTTATTTTATGGGACAAGAGTTAGATTTTATTAGGACCAACAATAAGTGCGTAAGCAATATTGTTTATTTTTGTCGTTTTAATAATAATTATAATAATTTACAGTCGTTAAACATGATTCGGTAAACCAATAATGTGAATTTTAAGATAATTAACTTTGTGCAGTTTTCACAAAATTGTAGAATATAATAGACGATTTTATTAACTTATTGAATACTCTTTTTTTTTTTTTTTTTTTTATTCTAAACTAAATTTTTTATGAGTTGTACGTTGACAATAATTATAGAAGATGATGAAAAGTAAATAAACAAATCAAATTTTGAATTAAAAAAATGATTTTAAAACGCTGATCAGGTAAAAAGATTATTGATAAGCAATATAATTAGATTTAAAATTGTAAAATGTAGACGGTTAAACCGCAAACACTTTTCAAGTGCCACTACACAATACATTCAGCATCCTCACCGTCCATTCAGAAGAATAAATAACTAAATAATGAATAAAGCATTAACGATTTGTCATTACTGTGGATTTAATTAATAGAAAATAAAGCTGATATGTAAGTTATAATTTTAGCATGTACTTGAACTAGAAACTGTTTATTAAAAACTGAATTGACGCCAATGACGTCTTTTTATTATTATTATACACGTCCCTCCTTACCTAAAAAGGTGTTACCAATAGTAACAGCTTTTTCTTTAAATATAATATTATAGTTTAAATACAGACTAAAACTTAAAATACTAACAATGTATTTAGTTAGATTTGCGAAGCTGCTAATAGCAATTTTATAAAAGTTTACTTATTCTAGATTAACATATGATTGTTACATACTTAAACTCTATTACTTATATGTCGCATACTTAATTCTCTCTAAAAGAAATAAACTGTCTTTACAGGTCATATTCGTCAGCGGATGTGTCAGATTCGACTTCCACACGAATATGGGCTAATTTTAATTTATCTGTATGAACTATTTTAGTTTTCTGTCCCTTTAAAGCTATTTTAACATTACGGTCGGATAAGATTTCAATAATTTTATAGGGTCCTTCCCATTGGGGGTCAAATTTAGAAACTCTAGGTTCTTTAAGAAGTAGGACCATGTCGTTAAGATGAAAAGTTCGTGGATTTTGTTTCCGATCATAATAGGTTTTACTAATGTTTTTAGCCCTTTCGAGATTAGCTGCGGCGTTAGCTTGAGTACCGGAGATTCTAGAAAACAAATCGTCGAAATAATCATTATAAGTAGTAGAGATTTCTTCTTCGGCAAACTCGGAAGGGATGCGCGCCTTTTTCCCAAAAATCAATTCATAAGGGGTATAGCCCGTCGATTCGTGAACTGCCGTATTATATGAAAACATCGCGAATTTAACCCATTCGTCCCAATCTTTAGCCTTACAATAATGCTTTAGATATTCAACAAAAACGTGGTGAGCTCTTTCCAGAGACCCTAAAGACTGAGGCCTAAAGGCAGTTGATTTTATTTGTCGGATTTTAAATACTTTACAGAATATCTTTAAAGTGTGACTAACGAAATTTGAGCCTTGATCTGTGTGAATTACTTTGGGACACCCGAACCGGCAAATGAAGTTATTAGCAAAGGCTAAAGCAATAGTGGTAGCATCAATAGTAGCGACTGGTATGGCGTCTGAATATTTGGTTAAATTATCTTGAATGGTAAGTAGATACTTGTTTCCATTTTTAGTTACAGGTAGGGGTCCAACAATATCCATCTGAACTTTGTCAAAGGATTTCCGAGGGGTGTCTGTTATCTTCATGGGTTGTCTAGTTTTAACTCTGACAAGCTTGTTTTTCTGGCAGCTGTCGCAAGTACGTACAAATTGTTCAATTTGAGCTTTCATATTATTCCAAAAAAAATCTTGTCGGATGCGGTTGTATAATCTGACGACCCCAGGGTGACCTCCGACAACGGACTCGTGGTATTCGCGAATAATATTCAGTCTTTCGCGTTCGGGGGGGAAACGGATATCACCTAAACAAAATGTGAAGGTGCATCCATCATTAGGGAAGTGTTGTTTAATGTTTTTAACAAAATGACTCCATTCAGCATTACTTAATCCGTTGTTTTTTCTTTGAGGGATGCTTACTGTTTTTACTTGCAAATGTACGAGAAGATTTCTGAGTGAAAGAACAGTATTTTCGATATCTTTGGGGTTAATGCGATCATCTGAAGTTCTTTTAATAATTAAATGAAAGACAAAGTGATCGTTCCATCGCGACGCGATAGCTGTTCCAGGTTCTTCGGCGTTGTTAATTATTTCGCGGACAGAAAATTTGCTTTGATTTAAAAGGTCTCTAGAAGTTTCTGGGAGGAACGTTCCATCGACGGACGTGAAATGCACTAGGTTGTCTTTACGCATAGATATTTTATCGCGGGTGGTAGTCACATAGGAAGGGGTATTGATAAAGATGGATCGGATTAGGGTTTCGTCAAGCTTTACTCTTTTACTAGATTGAAGTTCGTCAGTATCAATGTTATTTTTGTGTTCTACATGTGTTTCATCTTTCCCAGACCCACTTTGCAAAATATACGCTTCACCGGGAACTACCTGTCCCAAAACAATCGATGGGGAGTTCAAGTTACCTCCCGCCTCCCCCCTGGCTTCAAAAAGGTTGCCCTTAAAGTTACCTCGGGATGGAGACCTTCCACTAGGGGTACAGTTTATAGACGCACGACGTCTTTTTGTTGGTAGGTTCTCAATATCGGGAACTACCTGTCCCAAATCAATCCTTGGGGAGCACAAGTTACCTCCACCCCTCCTCACTGGTCCCGGATATACAGGTCCAAGGGCCACCAGGTCTTGGAGTTTATCCCCACCCGACACCTGCAGCGTGTCGTGGGCAAAATTAACCTCCTGACCCTGCGTACGCTCAGGGTCAGCCTGAGAACCATACCGCGTATTATTGGTAACACCAGTACCGTCAAAATCTGGAAAGTTAGTCGGGGGCAGGTTGAAACACATGTTGCAACTATAATTATTATCATTTGGAGAATTTAATTGAAAAATTGAAGCTACAAGCGACTCGACATTAGTATTATCTTCATCTTTATTGACTAAATTAATGTGATGGGTTTGACTTGTGTCGGAATCTGCAATAGGTACGTCATCAGCGCAGACTGGTACCGATTCCAGACTTCTGAAAGTCTCACCCTCTTTAGTATGTTCATTTAAATTGCAAGACTTTTCTGGTGGGGGATTACGGGAAAGGGCATCAGCGTTAGAATTTATTTTACCGGGCTTGTAAATTACATCATAATCAAAATCGTTTAATTTGATACGCCAACGAATTAATTTAGAATCAGGATCTTTAAGGTTTTGCAGCCATACCAGAGGCTTATGGTCAGTGACAAGGGTGAATTTTCGCCCGAATAAATAAGGTCGAAAATGTTTTATAGCAAATAGCGCAGCCAATAGCTCCTTTTCGGTGGTGGAATAGTTTTCTTCCGTAGGGGATAATGTCCGAGAAGCGTAAGCTATAGGAAGATCGGATCCAATAGTTCCTTGACTTAAAACTGCACCAAGGGCATAATTAGAAGCATCAGTAGTTACAATGAAAGGCCGGGAGAAATCGGGATATTGCAATAGGGGTTCAGAACAAATGGTATTTCGGAGAGTTTCAAAAGCTCGTTGCTGCTTGTCGGTCCAAGAGAAAGGGGTATCCAATTTAAGAAGGTGGGTTAAAGGTTTGGCAATTTTGGCAAAGTCTTTAATGAACCGTCGATAATACCCAATGAGACCCAGGAAAGATTTTATTTTTTTTCTAGTATTAGGAAGAGGGAATTCCTTGACTGCTCTAATCTTTTGGGGATCAGGTTTAACCCCTTCGTGTGTAATTATGTGTCCTAAATATCCTATTTCACGCCGAAGGAAGTGGCATTTTTCAGGTGATAAAGCTAAACCCGCGCTCTGTAATCTACTTAACAAAGTTTTTAATTTGAGAGAATGTTCTTCGAGAGAACTCGCGTAAATGACGATGTCATCCATGTACACAAACAGTTCAATTCCCTGAAGTCCCGAGAGGACACAGTCCATGAGACGCTGGAAAGTGGCGGGGGCATTTTTCAAACCAAACGGCATGCGATTAAATTCATAATGACCGTAGGGTGTAGAAAATCCAGTTTTGTGTTTAGAGGCACAGTCCATCTCAATTTGATGAAATCCGGAAGCAAGATCTAAAATAGTGAAATATTTTGCTCCTCCGAGCTGATCGAGAATGTCGGTGATATTTGGCAAGGGGTAAGCATCACTAATTGTTTTTTCATTAAGTCCGCGGTAATCAATAACCATCCTCCAACGAGGTGTTCCAGAAGGGCCAGCTCGTTTGGGGACTAACCATACGGGAGAATTGTAAGGGGAATCAGAATTTTGTATAATATTATCTTTTAATAATTTATCAACTTGATCTCTAAGCTCCTGCTTGTGGATCTGTGGGAATCTGTATTGTTTAGTGTTAATCGGAATTTCATCAGTAGTGTTGATTTTATGTTTTAAAACAGTAGTAGATGTAAGTTTATCCTCAGGGAGGTGGAATTGAAAAGGGTTATCAAAAATTATTTTAACGATGCTTGCTTTCTCTATTTCATTAAGCCCGCTCAGGTCTACCAATTTACAAATTTTATCCAATCTTTCAGCGTGAATAGAATCAGGATCGCGATCTGGGTCAACTGTTCGCGTTGTTCGTGGTGAAGGCGGTAAAATTTCGAATTCTTCTAATTTAATTGGAGGGATAGTAATATTGACATGATCGGTGGTGGTGTTTATAGCGAAAATCTTGACCAAGCCGTTGTGAGATTGTACTAGAGCTTCCCCTAAAAATATACCGGG